CATTTAAGTTTCCAATGCACTTAACAACGATTCAAGCCCAGCAATCTCTGACAGCAAGAGATGTCAGCCTCCAATGATGATTCAGTACCTAAAAAGACAGTAACCTCTAACAAAGCACAGCAGTTTTTACAAATGTGCAAGAAAGTTGTTCCTGGTAAAAATGGAAACAACAAAAATGTTTTCATCACTTGATGCCATTTTATGCCATTTAGTGTTTAGTTAGCAAGCGTTTAGTATTTAGTATTTATTTATTTATTGTCATTGTCAAGAACAATGAAATTGCGTTTGGGGCTTCCATACAACCCAAAAAAAAGAAGAAAATAATAAATACCCCTTAAAACCCAAGTGTACATATTTAACGCAGTGTGACTCCAATGCAATAAGACAATCCTTAGCAATAATGTTCGTAGAAATTCAGACAAAGACCTGAGAAACATGACAAAATACAACAATGCAACCCATTCAATATTATTGTACTGTGAGATATGATATCAGATATGATAGTTATCTATTTAAGAAAGAGGGGGGGGGGGGGGCAGGAGGGGGAAGAGAATAAAGATATGATGCACCAATGCAGACCAGTTCATTGCTATTAAGAAGTTGGATATGGTTATTGTCCGTGAGAGGGGGGCAGAGAGTTCAGGAGCCTCACAGCCTGTGGATACAGGCTGTTGGCCAGTCTGGATGTTCTGGCCTGTATAGACCTGTACCTTCTCCCTGAGGGCAGCAGATGGAAAAGGTGGCGCGCAGGGTGATGTTTGCAGTGCCTGATTCGCAAATTACCGTTGACCACAGCAATCTGCTAGGAACCGAAGCAATCACAAGGAAGCTTTGTTCAGGTCGCACCCTCCTCTGCCAGCTAGCCAGAGAATACACATTGTTCCCAAGCGACCAGGGGCTGCCGGATGGTCATGAATCGGTCTCTGTGTGACTGAAGCTTATAAACTCATTTGATGAGCTGGTTAAGCAAAACATTGGGAATCAGTCAACTAAACCAAGACCTTAAGTTCTGAAAATGATCAAACACTCTTAAAGCATTTTATTAAATATTAAATGAAATGTTCTGAATGGTTCCAGCTTCACAGTGTGCACTATAATTGGATGGATGGACTGATTGTGTCTTACCACTGGTTCACTGTGTGTTCATTAATTCACCAGAAAAAAAACAACAACAGGTTCCAACAAGTGAGTTTCGTATAAACTAGATTTTAACCCTCTCGAAGCAGGCGTTGCCGATTTGCAACAGTTAAAAACTAACAACCCGATTACCCCATATACATATTTTTTGAGTTTCTTTTACTCAGAAGTACCACTGCAGGACTTGGTTGTGCATTAGCAACAAAAAGTTTAATTTGAGCCTGAGAGGGTTAAATGAGGGTCTCTCAGAAACAAAAGTCAGAAGATGAAGGCCTAGTTCTAGTTAATATTCAACTTCAATGGTGCAGAGACCAAAGTACAGAAACGTCGTCAATCTCTGTTTTAACTGTATGATAACTATCATATTTAGGGTAAGGACCAGGTTTAAGAAAAATAGAGTTGACTGCTTTGTCTCTGTAACACAGTTCCAGGATTTCATCAAACCTACAGTTAATCAAACAAGAAGGTAAAAGGTAAATCATGGAGGTTAAAAATATGTTTGAATACATGTTTGTTTGTTTTTTTTTTTCTTTTACAAATTTCAAGTTTAATTAACTTGTGTATTAAATTAGTTGACTTCCCCCCCCCCCGTGTGCTACAAATCAAAATGTCATTAAGTGAGCAAACACAGACCTGATTAAAACAGCGTCCCTGGATTACTATTTCATAACATTTCTATTTCACAGTCTAAACTGCAGCAGTCTGATGGCATATTAAAGGTGCTGCTGCAAGTGCAAAAAAGTGAACTAAGAGCTGTCAAATGATGTAACTATTTCAGAGCCTTATTGGCTGCTGAAACACTCCACCGACTGCATAACAATGCCTGTGTGTCAGCCCTGATAATGCCACACACACACTTACTCACACACACATAAATAAACAGCACTTCTAAACAGGCTTACGCATACTGATGCACACATGCTCATATTACCGTATACATTAACAAACACCAAAGTTACTCACCAGCAGTGTTGGTCAAGTTACTTGAAAAAAGTAATCAGTAACTAATTACTGATTACTTCCCCCAAAAAGTAATCCTGTTACTTTACTGATTACTTATTTTCAAAAGTAATTAATTACTTAGTTACTTTTTAAAAACACGATTTACAACCTGAATAGGTAACAAAGCGATAGATCTTTCAGCCCAATTCTACTTTTTCTGCATAACCCATCATACAAAATGTAATCAAATGGAAAAGTCTCCTTTTAAAACTTGTTTTATTAGTTCTAACCTTTTAAATTTATGCATCAAGCAAAAATTTTATTATATGCAACATTCTCTGACTTGAATAAATTAGTTTAACATTTAAAGCTATTTTCTGCACATTCCAGCACATAAAATAAAATATTTTTTGTGTTTACACTCACTCTTTCAAATAGATGCAAGTAAAACACAGCAGAAAATAAATTAAGTCAAAGACTAGCGGTCCTTTTGCTCTATTTTCACCATTAAAGCAGGAGTAGAGCAGGCGGAGGTTTACCCTGGTGCAGGTGTGTTGCAGCGGTCAGTGGAAGAATCCGCGAGTTTCTCTGTGAGTTTCCCATTACAACGTTGCGCACTTGGAGCTTGTTTAGGGTTTTTTTCGGTGTAAAAAGAAGTTTTCTTCCCACGCACAACGGACACTAATGTTTTTGTCACTTTTTATGGAATCAAACTCAAAGTAAGGTCAGTACTTCCATGCTTTAAACGCTACACGCTCATACTCTCTTCCACACTCGATATATGATCCACTGTTGATCTGCACACAGCTGTTTTCACAAAGGTCACACTAAGAAGGCAATGAGATACATAAAACAGAAAAAGAAGAGATCAAAATGAAGAGGAAGAAAGCACTGCATGAGACATTCTCGCAAAAAATCACGGTTTTAGTAACCCAGTAACGCAGCGTTCCTACGGGAAAGTAACGGTAATCTAATTACCGTTTTTGCAATAGTAATCCCTTACTTTACTCGTTACTTGAAAAAAGTAATCGGATTACAGTAACGCGTTACCTGTAACGCGTTACTGTAATCCGATTACTTTTTTCCCATCTCTGCTCACCAGTGCTTAGATTTACCGTAGATTTGGATGCATAAAACACAACACACACACACACATGCACACACACACACTATCCAGCTTGTAGCAACTTCTGCAGCTTGGGGGCAGAGATACCAGCTGTGAACTCTGCACTATGAATTTAAAGACAGAATTCAGCAAATTGAAGCTCAATTACTGCCATGTTGCGAGATAAATGATCCATATTCCCTCAGTCCTCTCCTTATTCACTTTTCTCTGCTCCTCTTCTTTTTAGATTCTGCCCCCCGCCTCTCCTTATGTCAATCTCTCTGTCCCTGCACCTTCTTTTGTAATCCAACAGTTTCCTCCTTTCCCCATTAGCATCTCTCTTCTCTCACACTTGTTAAAACAGTTCCCTGTTCTTCCCGCAGGAGAGAGGAGGAAGGCTAAAAATAGCTGTTCTTGAGCTTACTGTTTTTTTGTCTCTAACCTGTATTCCATACATCAGATAATATTTATCCTGAACAACAACCACTCAACATCTTTGTTCCTGACTCTTCTCTGGCACTGCAGCAACTTCCCAAACCCCCCGCCCCCGCCCCACTTCTGCCTCTTTACAGACATTTGCAGATGTGTGTGTGTTTGGAGCTGCAACATCAAAAAGTTGCCACAGACTGTTTGTGATGGAAAAATAGCTGCTAAATGGCTAAAACGATTTCTGCGCTCAGGATAAAATCAGTGTGAACTGCAAATGTAAACATGCCTTAAATGCCGCTCTGTATCAGAGCAGTTGGTACTTAAGCAGTGCAAGCATTTAAAATGTTGACAGCTGATGCCACAGGCAAAACTGTTTCTGACACCAGAAATCATGGCAGTTAACACCAATCTATACATAAATAAACGGATATACTAGGGTGAAGACAAATGAATAATCGGCTCAGATGACAGAGAAACCCCCCACTTCCCTCCCACACATACACACACATATACTGGAAGAGCAAATGGCCATCTGGCTGCTATTAAAAGCTAAACTTTTTATGTTGTTTCCTCATTAGTTCAATACTTTTTGCCAACAACACAGCGATAGGATAAAACGGGCATGGAAGAAGGGGATGAGATAAAACAGAAAAAGAAGAGATCAAAATGAAGAGGAAGAAAGCAGTGCATGTGATGCCACAGGGCATAAACAAACTGCTCACTGGCAAAGCTACACAGTAAAATAAACTTCCCCTCAGAAAGCCCTTTAATATCCCAAAATGCTAAAAATATTGCTGCAGCTCAGACAGCAGACAGACAGGGTTTGCCACTTTCCCGGTGTACAAAAGGCTTCAGACTGAGAAAATCTCAAGGCGCTGTTGTGTGAGCAGGACAAAATAATTCAGGAACAGGTTGTTCCCACTATCGGTTCAATCCATTTTTGTTCACCCTGGGAACAAAACTGCTGATGCAAACTATTTGAAAATAAGATAGAGTGGACAGCAGCATTTTTGAGGTCATACAATGGATATTTCATTGCTTCTTGACTTTCATTGCAACAAAAACAATGAGTATATATAGAATCCTGAATTGAAATCTGTAGGGAAATTCAATAAAATTTAACTTTCAATGAGAAAAAAAACTTTTTAGATATTATTTGGAGAAAAGTCAGCAAACATTTTAAGCAGTTTTAATCAGAACTCAGTGGTGCTTATTTAGTTTATACTTCAAAATCCCTTCTTAAATAAGATGACTGCCAAATGGTAAGAGAAGGACTTTGTTATAACTGGAACAGTCAAAGGAATCAAAAATGCAGGGAAGTCGACAAATATTGCATGCTATATGTAAGACAATAAGTCAGGTTATGTTAATGAATAATTCCACTTACCATCTTTGTCAGCTCTTCTGAAAATCTGTGAACAGAAAGCAAAACACTGACGTCAGTAAGAGTAATTGTGTTGCAGTAATTTGCATGAGGTATAAACAGGAACACTGGATCATTTCAATTCTAAACTATTTGCAAGTCAATGCAACAAATCAATTCAAAAACAATTTCTAAACTATGGTATTCAGTGGAAGCATTACACACAAAAGAGAACAGGGCCCAGTACTGAATCCTGAGGAATGCACTGGAATTTTCCTGAAAATTACTGAAATTGCTTTAAATTAATATCAAGGTCGAGGTCATTGTGAATTCAGAAAACTAATTTCTGGTCAAAAAATCATACAACAATGATGATGAAGGTCCAGACATATTTTTATAAAAAAAATTTATGAAAAAAGGAAATAAATCATTATTTTCATTGTAACAAAATTTTGAACAAAAACTTTTTTTTGGCCAGTCTTCAATGCTGTAATCTACGTGCAAAAGATAAGACTGGGACCATGATTTCCATTTGTTCAGCTAGTGAACAGATAACATTACACGAGTCTGGAAAAAATGAATGAAAACTAAAACTCTGCTGAATTGTGGAAACATAAACAAAAGCAGTTATTCTAAAGTGAGTAAGAGAATGACTAATTCTCTCTCTGGAGCAGAATCCAGACAGCGAATAACTGGCAATAGAAATAATCAGTCTACCATTCACTGTTTTGACTTTTACTTCCAACACGGCCCTTATAGGAGAGCTCTGCAGTCCATACACTGAATCCACACAAAGGCTGAATCTGGCACACAAACACACTTTGAAATAAAACGTATCTAAAACCAGATAAGGTGCAGTGGTGTGCGATAAGGGTTTGTTAAGAGCCGCACAAGTGAAAAGTTTATTAGTGCGTAAGAAGATGAAAACATGCAGACACACAAAACGAAGTCACTGATCTGTAGCTGATTGATGATTACTTGCTGTGTGTTTGTGCATCACAATTTATAGCTTGAGTGAAAGCTCCTTCCCTATGTCAGGGCTGGTACTCTCATCAGCGTTTCAGAGTGCGATATGAAGCGATCATACTGAGGAGTGCCAGAATTCAGCACAGCGACGAATTGAAAAACACAGAGGGAGATGCGGTGAGGGAGGCACAATGAAATAAGGCAGGCAAGACAGAAAAGAAGAAGACAGTATTAATAATTCCGACTGTGAGAAACATAACCAAATTTTTAAGGCACGTTTTGTTAGAAACTATAACTACTAAAACATACGGAAGGAAAAGAAAGTGATTCTGTAGGAGGAAAGTGCTTTTACTGGGAGAATAGGGACTCATTTTCAAAAGTATCCACAGCGGCTAAGAGAGACAAGAAAAGATAGATGTTAAAAGGACGTGTTATGTTCATTTCCAGCTTCATATCTTTATTCTTGACTCTGCAGTAGTTGCAACTGCATGCACAATTGGGTTTTTTTTAATCCTCTTTTTAAAAATTTAATTCTAGCCTAAAGCTCCCGTGTTCAAACACTCACTAAAATAAAATGAATAGCTTTCTTTTGAATGGCTGCCCCTTAGAAATAAAAGATTGTTGGAGACTGTGCTCACAGCAAGATTTATATCCCTCAAATGAACAAATCAGGGATGGAAGCTCTCACTGATATCATATGGACCTGGGAGTAGAAAAAACTGAGTTTTCAGGGAGATCTGAAGCCTGGCTTTTGGATTACAGTGATTAGTTGCCCATAATCTGACCTCGTGATATAAAATTTTTTTGGCCATGTTTAATCTTAACTTACACCATGCATTATGTGGATGGGATTTGAATGTGTGAAGTAGGCATATTTCTTTTAATCACATTTGAGAACAGAACTGCAGAAATATTTATAAATGGTCTTCTGCAATAACCTTTGTAACTGCCAGGAAAGTTCTAGACTTACTTCATACTTTCCCCAATAACGCTTTGTGTAAATGTCAAAAGAAAGATTTCACTGTTTAAATCAGAATCTATTAAAATGGATGAGCAACCATTTTGATTTCTTCATGGTCTGGCTATTTTTGAAGCAAAAAATGACAGCCGTTCTCTGTTTCCTGGTGCTATAATGCGAGGATTTTATGCTTTTCCTTATCATATTTAGCATATTTTCTTACATTAGTTGAAATAAATGTTAATCAATCCATTATATGATTTGTAGACTTAGCGGAACAAATAATGAGTTTACAGTTAGTTGCAGCCTTAATTTTAAAGGAATCTAAATAGTGTGGTCAATAATCATGAATGCAATTTGAAAACTTGAGAAAAGGTCCCACTTTTTAGTGCACAAACTGATATATATTGCACTTACAAGCATGAGGCATGTTAAACTCTAAATAAGTGGTGCATTCACACAGCATTTGCAGCCATCTCAACAGGCCAAAGAGAAAATCATTAACTGCTGAGACGAGTGGCGTTCCAAATGACAAGCTGCTCTGCATTGTTCTGCTTTCCGGCTGCACCCTGGGGTGCACTCAACTCCACAGAAAAAGAGCCAACTCTGGAGCTACTGGAAACAAACAAGCTTGGAGAGGAGGCAAAGTGTTGCGATGAAGAGGCGGTGTGTGCGTGCGCGTTTGTGTGTTTTTGTAAAGAGTCGTAACAGAAACACAGAGTGAGAAGAAAACGAGCGACAGCAGAGGAGAGAAGATCCGGCAAAATAGAAAAAGAAGACAGAGGCAGAGGAGAGTGTTGCATCCATCTCTAACCTTATCAAGAATGTAGGTTTCTGGGCAGGGGGAGGGGCAAGAAGGATATGGAGGAAATTAGGTGAGGAGAGAAGGGAAGGAAAAGGAAGAGACAAAGGATGAAAGGAATTTAATGAATAGCGAGAAAGGTACAGTGGGGTTAAGATGCAGGCGAAGACTTGAACAGTAAAGGAAAAACAAGCAGGCTGAGGATCTAATGAGGGAAGCGCTGACCGCAGGCACATGCGCACGTGCAGAGCAATCACTCAAACCTCTTTGGTCTCGACTTGTTCACCACAATAATAACTCTGGAGTCAATAATATTGGAAAATGAAGAAACGATTAACATTTCAAAGTTGAAGACGTTGCAGAGGGCTCAAGAGAAAATGCCAGAATGAGTTCATAGCTGATATCAGGAAGTCAGCCACTCTGAGAGAGTATGGCACATTTCTAACAGGGAGTGAGAGGGTGGAAAAAACAACAATCCAACAGGACCTTTAATCAGAAAATGAAATATGAACACATACATGCATATACAATGAAAACAAAGCTCTCCTCAAATATAGATATGACTGCAGCACAGTTTTATTGTTTGCTTGTTCACTTACAAACACTTTTACTGTAACATCTGTCTTAGCGGACAGTTGCTTGGCTCAAACTCAGCAAACTAGGTTACACCCCTCACAACATCCTTTACACACAAACACAGACAGAATGAGTTTACTAGGGTTCTAGGATACATTGGTGTACTGGTCTTGATCATAATTAGTTTTCCATGGACCCCCTTCTTTACCACCCTATCAGATTATTTAGGTCTGGGTCAGGATTTTGCAGAAGCTGAACTACTTTCTCTCTTTTTTTTTACCCTAATAAAGCAGCATCATCAGATCTCCTGGGGAAACATTTACAGCCGCCAAGATGAAAAGTAACCCAATAGTATTGATGAGTTGACCCAAATCAGCACTGCGCTAAGTGCCACTTTTAATGCAGGAAGGCTGCTCAGTTATTAGCTGTCTGATAACAGAAAGGTATTACATCAGGAGTGAGAATACTAAGCAGTGGCTGTAAGGAATGGATCAATAACAATATGGTAGTAAGACTTTCTCATGAATAATTAAATAGCAGTCATAAAATTGGTGTGAGCGTAGCTACTGCACGTTGGACTGACAGTAAAGCCAGGAGTAAAAGTAAAGCTGCCTCTCGACTATAAATGCATGACTTTTATTGGTGATGAAGAGGTGAACAAAGACGCATAAGAGAATATTGCTTAATAAGATGCAATAAAAGTACAGTGAATTTTTTGGATGGGTCATTCAGGAAAGATATGGAAACTGAGCTCAGCGCGTTGAGGCTGCTCCCGGGCTTCCACATTCATCACCAAAGTGTCAAATCTTCCGCCTACTCTACCAAGCCACGAGTATCTGCGCGTAAGTGCGCACTGCACCGGTCCGTACGCGCTGGATGTCTTCATACCCAGCAACCACCCGCCCTGCACCCGCCAAACCGGTGCATTTCCATACTCACATCCAAAATAACGGAGATGCCTCTCCGCGGTTCCGGAGCGAAGAACTGCTCCTGAGCCACGGCCACCTCCTCCTTACTGGAGGCGTACTCCCGGCTGGAGATGTTCTTGTTGTCGCTCATTTTGGTGACGATCCAGCGGACGAGCCCGTCGATTCCACCGGGCTGGGCGCCGCTGTTTCCGGACTGCGCTGCCGTTGCGGACTCGCTGTCCTGACCGGCTACGGGGTTCGGCTGCTCGCGGCTTTCTTGGGCTCGAAGTTTGGCTTGTTCTTTGTTCAGCAGTTTGTGGACTCCGTCCCTACAGTAGCGCGCTGCCTGCTCACACATCCTTTTGCTGCGGAGCGCTCATGCTGCGCTCTATGGGGGGAGAGAGAACCCCCACCCCCACCCCAGCTCCCCTCTTACATCACAGCACCCACCCCAAATCACATCCACCCCTACAGAGCTACCCTATCTACCCATACGTGCTTGTAGGCGCTGATATTTAACAGCTTTGGAGATTTAAGTGAGTTTATTACACTTTTTATTTTAGTGTTATTATCAACGCTTTCGTATTTACAAGTGCTAAAATATCTCGCCTCCACTGCTAATACTTTTCTTACAGTGTAAAAACACGGGACTATTTTTTCATGGTGTTGTAAAATAGCAAAGTTGCAGATCACTTTGAACTATCTGAATCTGACTGGAGATCGTGGCACAGTTTATTCCTTCCACAGTGACAACAGGAGGTGTGGGCCATCAGTTATGTGTGGCAATGGGTGGATCAGAGGATTTTCCTCATGGAGTAAAAAGGAGTCATTAGCGGATCAGTGTTATGTGACAGCTCTAACCTTTGGTAATGAGCGACTCCCCCAGCTTTGCCCTTTCCGCTGTACTGTTGTCTTCCCCGTAATGTACCATGTGTTTAACAGCACGCAGGGCAGTCTGGATGAATTCAGTCACATTGCAAAGTTAACAAACAGATTATCGCGATTACCACAAGGAAGTAAAGTCAGGTATGTTATACATCTTGCCCCATCGCTGGAACATAAGAAAGGGTCAATCACTTGACACGATTGCCCCCATGTGGTAAAAAATGTGCAGTGACGTGCGTGGGCAAGTTTTATATGCAGGATGTATTGAGTTAATTATTAAATATTAACCAACAGATTTGTGACAGCTAGTTATTTAAATCACGCAAATACACAACACATTCTGGCTTGAACATTTTGGCAATTAAATGAGTAACATTCTACAGAAAAATAACAAAACATATAAACATCCAGAAATTAAGGCCTAATTTCTTAAGTGCATTCATGTTTACATCTATAGTCAATCTCTCTGCATGTGCACATGTCTCTAAGATACCTTAATACCCTTCAGATAATAAACCCATGAGTAGGGCCTCCCGTGGCCCTCGGAGTGCCGACTGGAGATGATCAAGCTGTCTGACCATGGTCCTGGAGAGCCGTCTGGAGGAACCTCAAATGACACCAGGATTTTTTGGGTCTCTTCGAATTGAATGTTGCGACCTCTTTTGACAGTCAAATGGGAGTTGTCAGCCTAGACATGAGCAGGGTTCAAGTTACATCAAATCTGAATAAGAGACGTGTAAATGAAACATAAATTGAATCGAAACATTTTATAGATGCTGAAGATGTGAAAGCTGCATCTAAGACAAGCAGGAGCACAATTTGTCTAAACATAAGCCAGGTTGCACCACTCTGCACACTGCAATCTGTTCCAGGCTAAATTTAAATCATCTTGCTCCGTGTTGGCAATGCTGGCAATGAACTCAGTGTAAATATTTAAAGGAAATAAGCCTTAGTAAAGCATCCCTATTTTTAATAAGTGTATTGGCTGCCTGCAGGCTGTTTGTTTTAGAAGGTTGTAACCATCTTCAGCTTTGTTGATAAGACATTTTTAACTTTCACTCTTTGTTCCGATTGTCTTATAGTGCCGACTTTTGTAAATTCTACTTGCTCTTTACCAGAAGAGAGAACGTGGTGGTCTGCAGGAACACATTCTTGAAGGGGATAATGACGTTCCCAGCGGCTTTGATGCTGAACAGGCTTTGAGGTTTGGGTGGGGAGACAGAACCCTTGTAGGGGAAAGATGTATTCACCACCAATTACTGAAGATAGCCTTAGCTGGCCTCTCATTTACCCCAGCTGATAAGGCTCGAAACAGACCTCCATACTGGCCTTTGAGCCTGAAGGGAAAACTGGTAATGCGCTGACATTCTTGTCTACAATAAAGGCCGCACGGTCAGTCTGTAGGACAGAGATAACACAAGGTGTTTCCATGAGAGCAAGTAAATCAACTTTTTGTGTTGACGAATTACAGAGAGCAGATAACAAGGAAGCCTCGGTGATGAATGCTGACACTGACCACATGTACAGTACTGTTGATAGAATAAATGTACAGAAAGGGAAGAAAGGGCTATTGTTTTTCCACTTTTTACCTTGCAGCAGTACTCGGTTGTGAAGCGTGAGTAGTTGTTAAACATTACAGTGACAGAGTGGCTGCTGCCCAGCAAAGTATTGAAGTCTACAGATTGCTCTGGTGGTGGGGGCAGAGCTCTGAGTCGAAGTGGCCCAGCTCATTGCTGAACAAAGTCAGACGGGCAGTAGATTCACCTGGATGCAGAGGCATGTAATGAACAGCCAAAGAAACCTGTAAAGAAAAGACACACACACATTATGCCCGTAAGAGTCACACAGTTTTTTTTTAATGTGATGGCAGATGTACTCATTATCTACCTTGGATTGTCCTGGCACACTGGGCTGAAGTTGGACGATGATGCCACGACATTTACACTCAGTAGTAAGGCAGGCTGTCTGGGTCAGAGGGTTCTCTACTTCAATAGTGGCCAAGGGCACCTGACAAACAGGTCTCCCCAGCTTGATGGTGGACAGGACTCCTGGAGATGTTGCCTTTGAAGATAACGAGGTAGAACAAATACTCACCTGTCTCATCATTAATGAATGTCACCCAAGGATGAAGATAAAAGGATGATGTGAGAACAAGGCTAAAAAAAATAGTTATCCAAGTCTGGATGTGTATGCTTGAGTGAACCTTGGTGTTATACTGTCCCTCTGTGTATGTTAAAAAAAAAAAAAAAAACATGTCGTAGTCCCTCTTAGCATGGGCAGGGACATCAATAAACTTGATTTCCTTGAGGGACACTGTAGCATCTGGCTTGTCAGGCTTCATTGTCTCTAGATGAACAAGGAACCTGAGAACACAGATGAGGACACTCATGGCTCTGTTATACATCTGTTGCATAATTTGCCAGGAACTATGGATTTCTATATTAGCACCGAAAAAGCTTTGCTTAACTGGGATCCTTTCCTACACTTTACTTTTTATTTTCTACAAGAAAATTTCAACATGTAAAATTTTGTGTGTCCATCTCAGTTTAGACAACACAGTTGAAACTAGTTGGTGATTTAGCTGCTAAGGAGAGAGATATCACTTAAGAGCAGCTCAAGTGTATATAGTTCCCGACTAAGTGTTTACCCCTGGTGCCTAGAGAGCCAGTTGTGCACAGGGAGCAACACTGTGTGGTGAGTTTTAGCAGGTAGCTCATGCCCAATAGTGTTCTCTGCCACAGGAGGATCGGCAGCTCCCTGCAAGGTGTACAGCACGCCTGCCCCATCAGGAAAGGCAAAAAAGGCAGATCCCTGAGGCAAGAGAAAGGATAAACAGAGACTAATTAAATTGTTATAGTTACATAGATAGTGTTATTATCTGTAACCTTTTCGATATTAAAAAAGTATTAAATATACCCAGTTTTTCAAATAAATGATAGATTCTATTTAGATGATGGCTCTTCTACCTGGTGTGTTTTTTCCAGGAGCAGTCATAGTCATAGATCGGTAGAACTCCAATGCTTGCCCTCAATGACAGGTTTGATGGTGCAACACTGGATTGTGGGGTTGGGGACAGACAGGGTCTGTGTGTGGGAGCACTTACATTACAAGTAGTATTTGATATGTGAAGATAAACTCATTATATCATCTTGTTACATTGGATGTTGTCAGGGAGAGAAATCTGATCAAGCGTAGGGTTTTATCTCAAACACAGAAATTAATCTTTGCATTTATGATAAAATCAGATTGCCTGTAACTCATTCTCAAGATAACATAACATGAGAAATTTCCTAAAGCCTTTTCTCAGAACTACTCAGCTAATTGAAACTGACTAATAGTTTTTACAAATCCTTAAATCTGTCAGCAGCTGCTGCCTGTTCCAAATGAGCCGAATCAATGTCTCTCATTACCTGATGCTGGCCTCTAACCAGGCCCAAGTAGTCACAGTGCTGACAAGGCACCTTTTAGATTGTATTCCCTCTGGAAAAGCCTCAAAATCAATACCCAGATAACTAATCTTTTAGCTTTGCTGAGTGTAAAAAGCTTTCAGTTATGCTGTTGTATCTGTGATACATTCAGAATAAAATCATCATCAACTTAAAACAGCAAATATGTTATTGTTTTCATCATATTAGTCAACACTGTACTTTTCCCTTTGGCACAAATACAGTGCAGAATGGTGAAAAAAAGAGTCAAACCTCTTTGCTAGTGGAGGCCGCGATGCAGGAGCCAGTGACACAGAGGCAAAAGTCGTTTGGAAAGGGAACCTCCATTCCTGGACAGATATATACATTAGGTGGCATGATGCATAACTCTGCAGGAAAATCCTCTGTTTTCCACTTAAACCTGTTAAGGAAAAAAGCAAACAGGCAGAAATATATGCAGCTATAATATGTGAAGCATTGTGATAACTGCAGTAACACAATATTGATGTTTCTGAGTGAAGATGTGTTTGTCACTGCTGTCTAATCTTACTGGGCACCAGTGTCACCAGTATTCATTGTAACATTCTTCTTCCTGATCTGGGAACGTTGGGACTACAGCTCCAAAGTAGCTCTCTTCTAGCTGGACTTTGACATCCTGGTAGTTTTACATGAAATAAATTAAGACTATATGATATACAGAGCTAACATTCTTGCTTATAATATAGCATATGGCATATATAGCAAGTCCTACTTTGTTATAGTATTACTGTCAACATTCAAAATTCATTAGAACTTTTCTCTTTCTGTTTTAAAGGAACTGTGTGAAAACGTACTCCCGATTAGACTTTCGACTACATGATTACAGTATCCAGGGCTGGACTGGGACAAAAAAATCAGCCCGGGCATTTTGACTAGTGACCGGCCCACCATGGTATTATAGGAAAAGCCATAAAACCTTTATAATAAACTTAAACCTACACCATCCTCCCTATTCTGGTATTCTAAACAGTACTTAGCAAAAATATAAAACAACCTAATTTATAATTACATATACCTAACTAATAGGGTTGCCAACTCCCAGCAAAAAAAGAAAAGAAAAAAAATAGGG